TGGGTTTGGAGCCAGATTGGGAAGGGATTTCAACTTTGTTGGCAGCAGTAGGCCCTCCCTCAAAGATTTTCAAGCAGGAAGGTGATAGGATCAGATCTGTCTTTTTAAAGGAATATCCTGGGAAAGACTACAATGGAGGAGAACTGAGAGGAAGAGCAACTGTATCAGGAAGCTATTGAAGCAGACGGTGTAAGAACCTAAACTAAGGTGGCGGCTGTGGATGGAGAGAGCAGACATTTCTGCGAGGTTTTTGCCATACACAATCACCGCAACCAGCTGACTGCTGAAAGGGGTGAAGAGAGGGAAGGATTCCAGCATATCCTGAAGGTTTCTGGCTTAGCAAACTGGGCAAGTCATGGCGCCATTAATTCAGACAGACATAAAGGAGAACAGGTTTAAAGAGAGATGATTAGTTTTCTTTCTTTTTTTAAACTTTTTATTATGAAATATTACACAAATATAGACAAGCAAAAAATGTATTGTGTGGTATGAGTAATTATAAAGTCTATTGACTTTGAGTTACTGTCATGGATTGAATTGTGTCCCCCAAAAATATCTGTCAACTTGGCTAGGTCATGATTGTCTACCATTTTGTCATCTGATGTGATTTCCCTGTGTGTTGTAAATCCTATCACTATGATGTAATGAGATGGATTAGTGACTGTTATATTGATGAGATCTGCAAGATTAGATAGTGTCTTAAGCTAATCTCTTTTGAGATATAAAAGACAGAAGTGAGCAGAGACACATGCGGACTGCATACTACCAACAAAGCTATACCAGGAGCAGAGCACGTCCTTTGGACCTGAGATTCCTGTGCTGAGATGCTCCCAGACCAAAGGAAGGCATCACAAGGACCTTCCTCCAGAGCCAAGAGAGAGAGAAAGCCTTCCCCTGGAGCTGGCACCCTGAATTCGGACTTGTAGCCTACTGGACGTGATAGAATAAACTTTTCTTTGTTAAAGCCATCCACTTGCAGTATTTCTGTTATAGCAGCACAGGATGACCAAGACAGTTACTATGAGATCTAGCAGGAATTTGGCAATTCTGTTCTGGAGACCAGGAAAGAGGCCTAGCATTATATTAATTAGTGTTTTTTTGATTGCAAGTCACAGAAACCCAACCTAAACTTAAACACAAAGGAAAACGTATTATAAAGATAAAGGAACCCAAGGACAGGAATATAGCTGGTGTTATGGACTGAATCGTGTTGCCCAAAAATATGTGCTGTAAATCCTAACCCCTATACCTGTGATGTAATCCCATTTGGGAATAGGGTTGTGTTATGTTAATGAGGCCATATCTGTGTAGGTTGTGTCTTAAGCCAATCACTTTTGAGATATAAAAAGAGCAAATTCTGCAGAACAGTACTATGTTGTTTATGAATACATCCTTTCGTAGTTAAAGTGTGAGATTAAGGATAGGAAGAATAACACCAACTTGAGATTCAAGGTTACCTTTGGGATAGAAGGATAACAATTAATTGCAGAGACGGTACTTCGACCATCCCTGTAAACTTTTATTTCACCAAAAAAACTGAAGCAAAGATAACACAAAATTAACCCGTATCGAAGTTAACCCATATCAGAGTTAACCCGTATCGAAGTTAACCCGTATCAGAGTTAACCTGTATCGAAGTTAACCTGTATCAGAGTTAACCCGCATCGAAGTTAACCTGTATCAGAGTTGGGCAGTAGTTAATTGGGTGTCTGATTTATTTTTTGTCTGTAGAGTTTCTATATGGGAAATCTTTTATGATTTAAAGACAGGCAAAACATCATAAATGACCAATTCATATATGTTAAGCAAGTAATAATGTATCCACAGGATGAAACGTCATGCCAGATTTAAAACTCATAACATCAAAGGATATCTAGGGATACGGGGAAATGCTCAAGATACATTTGATGTGAAAGGGAAGGTGAGAAAATAATTTATAGTGGGGACATGTTTTCTTTTCAAATGTATATATTGCTCCACTTTCCCACATCTATCATCGATCAAAGTGAAGATAAGGACCAACTTGTTAACCTGGGCTGCGTATGAGTAGTGTGACTATAAATGATTTGTGTTTTCTTCTCTATACCAATTTTTATAATGAATACACACTCATTTTTATCAGAAAATAAATAATCTAATGAAAAAAAAAAGAGCAAATTAGGCACAGAAGCAAGGAAACACAGATGGGAGAAGATAGACGTCATGCCACATGAAGATCGCCATGGAACTGAGGAACAGAAGCTGAAAAGAGACAAGGACCTTCCCCCAGAGCTGACAGTCTTCCCCTAGAACCAGCGCCCTGGATTCTAACTTCCAGTCTCCTAAACTGTGAGAAAACAAATTTCTGTTAGTTAATGCTGCCCACTTGTGGTATTTCTGTTATAGCAGCACTAGGTAACTAAGACAGAACTGGGCATCAGGAAGAAATTGGCACCAGGGATTTGAACACCATCAGAACTCTCTCTCTCTTTGATGCTGCTTCTGCCGGCTCCTTCCACTTCTCTGGTCCACATGATGGGAAAGGGGGCCACTGACTGTTCCCAATTTGCTCATGTAATTGATTCAGTCACTCAGAGAATAACTCAGTCCCAGTTCTAAAATCCCCAGGGAAGGGACTAATTGACCTAGCATGTGACTAGGTGGGCGGTAACATTGTAGGGACATAAGAGCTCTTACTGCAACCATTCAGAACAATTTCTCCAATAGTGGTGCTAGACAGCTAATCCAACAGGTGTCCACTACCAGTGAAACTTTTGGGCCCCTCAGCGTATATAGATTACAACAGTGGTTCTCAACTTTGCTGCACATTGGAATCACCTGGAAAACCTTAAAAAATAGTGATACCTGGGTTTCCCCTGGCCACCCCCGACCCTGTGCAAGATTCTGATTTATTTGACTTGGGGTGTGGCCTGAGCATCAGGCTCTTTTACAACTGCCCAAGCGCTTCTAATGTGTAGCTAAGGTTGAGAACTGCTGGCTAGTGCAGTGTTTTTCAAACTTGAATGCACCTACAGAGCCCTGGTGGTGCAGCAGTTAAGCACTCAGTTGCTAACTAAAAAGTTGGCAGTTCAAACCCACCAGCCCCCTGCGGGAGAAAGCTGTGGCAGTCTACTTCCATAAAGATTACAGCCTTGGAAACCTTCTGGGGCAGTTCTACTCTGGCCTGTAGGGTCGCTATGAGTCGGAATTGACTCAACGGCACACAACAACATAGATCACGTGGGTGTCCTGATAAGATGTTGGTTCTGATTCAGCAGGTCTGGGTGGAGCCTGAGATTCTGCATTCTAATGTGCTTTCAGGTGACTCTGATGCGGATACTGATGCTTCAGACCACGATCTGGGCAGCAAGGTTCTAGTGCAATGCTGTCCAATGGAACTTTCTGTGATGATGGAAATATTCTATTCTGCACTGTCCAGTACAGTAGCCACTATCCACATGAGTCTATTAAGCACTTGAAATGTAATTAGACTGAAGAACTGAATGTTTAACGTATTTAATTTGAATTTGAAGAGCCTCATGTTGGCTACTGTATTGGGCAGCTGCAGTCTAGTGGATCTCACCAAGAGGGAGGGCGTATCTGAATCACCTGTGGGATTTCTCAACGGACTCTATGCTTTCCTGCTGCTACAGTCCTCTTAACCCTTCCCGATTCAGGCCCTAAAAAGGTGTAATAGAATCTGAGGAAGGAGAGCATAGGAATAAAGTGTGGACTCTTGAGACGGCCCAATAAGTGATTCTGAAGCACTGTCCTTACCCACATGGTGAGAACCACTGAAAGAGTGTTCTGGTTATCTACTGCTGTGTCACAAGTGTAGAGTGTCCCAGTTATCTACTGCTGTATCACAAGCCACCCCAAAACTTAGTGGCCTAAGACAATAACGTTTCTTTTTCTCAGAAATCTGTGTTTTGGGCAGGGCTCCGTGGAGGCATCTCATCTCTGCTCTAGTTGGCATCAGATGAAGTGGCTGGAAGGCTGGGGCTGGAATCATCTAAAGATTTGCTTACTCACATGTGTGGTAGTTGATGTTGCCTGTGAATTGGGACTCTAGCTGGGTTCAAAGAGTGAGCATGGAGAGAAAGAGAGAGCGAGCAAGTGAGCACTAGGTGGATGTTCTATATCCTGCTTCAAACCTAAGCTTGGAAGCCATGCTGTGTCATTTCTACTGCCTTCCATTCAGGAGCGAGTCTCTAGGGTCACTTAGAGGAGGGAAGAGGAAGCAGACTCCACCTTTTGATAGGAGGAGCGTCAAAGAGTTTGCGCACATGTTTTAAAAGCACCACACAGAGTTGGGAGCGATGAGTGCCGAGGACAGAACTCTGAGGAGTATCACTATTTTAGGAGGCAGCTGAGCCTCTTCCTGCTTAGACCTTCACAGCACACAAGATTTAGTAAATTGCAAGCACACGACAGCCCACAGTCAGCTCCCTAGTCTATGAAGAAACACTCTCACTGGTCCTCCAGGCCCAGCCAGGCTCAGCTCTGAACACCTGACCCCAGGAGCACCCCCTACCCAGAAGACACCCCCGATAGGCTTCTGACCCAGAGACTTTCTTATTGCACATGCTCACTGAGTAACTTCTCAATTCCTTTTTTCAGACATTCTTGAGTGGTGCGGTGGGAGGAGCCCAGGCCTGGGGGTCAGGACACTTGGGTTCTAACCACAACTATGTAAAAGCCTGTAAAAAAGAATATAGATTCATTTGGGAAATAATTTTCTTCTTTATGTTTCAATTTTCTACGATATTAGTTTAAAAAAACTTAAACTCCTTTTCATTAAGCAGTGAAAGATTTTTAAAAAAACCAAACCACACCCGATGCCGTTGAGTCGATTCCAACTCATAGCGATCCTCTAGGACAGAGTAGAACTGCCCTGCAGGGTTTCCAAGGCTGTAAATCTTTACCGGAGCAGATTGCCACATCTTCCTCCTGGGGAGTGGCTGGTGGGTTTGAACCACTGCTGACCTTTCAGTTAGCAGGCAAGAGCTTTAACCACTGTGGTACCAGGGCTCCTTAGTGAAAAGTAGTTAGGCGTCAAAACAGCCAGTTTGACGTCTTTGAAACAGAAAAATGATATCTGATCTTTCTAGTTTTTAATAAAGTTTACTCTTCTAGTTTTTTTTTTTTTTTAAGGATGATTTAATTAAAATAGAACTTATGTAACAATTTTCAGGTCTGATTTTAAAAAAGGCTTGAAATAAAATTCTAACGTGATCAGGTTTCTGCACATTTCGTGAGGCTCAGAGGCCTTGGGGCCATTCATTTCGTCCTGCCTCCCCGCCGCTGCAGTGCCTCCTGCCTCTCTGAGCACGTCTCTTCCTCAGAACCACCAGCAGAGAGTCCGGCTGCCTTGTGACCTTCTTTTGTAAGCTGCTAATATTTCACCATATTTTTGTAGTCTTTCACAGATGACTATCATTTTACAAAACAGCCTTTTAAAAGTGGCTGTTGTATTCAGGAAGCGTGCCAGATCAAGTACTTTCATTTGTGCTCCACCTCGCCTTGTCTCCCACATCCGCTGGTTGTGTAACTTTGGGCACATTACCTCCCTTCTTTAGGCCTCATTTTTTTCATTTGTTAATGAGTAAGTCAAACTAGACAATCTCTGAAAAGGCCCTGGAACCCAGACACTGATGACTTTCCTTACACCCTTCTCCAGCTTCCTGCCTGATGGCTCTTCCTGACCCCCGTCCTCAGCACCAAGAGAAAGGAACACAGATGGAAGACGTTTGGGGCTTCGGGTATTTTCCGACTCAAATTGGAGCTAAGCGGTCTGAAGATAAGGAGACTTATGTTCATTACGAGTATAGAGAAGGCTGAGCCAAGCAGGTAGGTGTGTGGCATGCTGGACGGCAGGGGCAGGTTTGGTGAGGGCCAGTGGGCAGACAGGCATGGTGAGCAACCTCCCAGGAGTTGACCGAGAAAGGTACCATGGAGCTCGGGCACGGAACAGGCTAGAGTGTCCATCTCCTCTTTCCTGGCCTTTGTGAATGTTCTGGGGCCTGGGGCCTAGCTATGGGGTGAGACTGAGTGTAACAGAGCCACTGCCCATTCCGGCCCCACCTCACTCCAGGAAATGCCTCCTCACCGCAGTGACCACATCCCCCCAGGTTGCCTTGGAAACATTCCACGGGGGCGGGGGAGTTGGGGCAGAGTTACTAAGCAACAGGTGGTGCCTTCCCTTCCACCCTCATCTGACACCAACTCTCTTTACACCTTTCAGGCAACTGTCCTGTGCCCTCCTGGCATGAGCAGGGAAGAGCCACTCTGAACGGTGAGAGAGGAGCCCTGGAGCTGACCAACAGTGAGGTAAGGGGTGCAGGAGGCCTTGCAGATGGATGGGGGGCCTGGGGCAGAGAGAGGTGGGCAGAGACAAACAGGAGATAGAGATAGGGCAGAGACTGTGCAAAGCTGGAGAGACAGGGACAGGTGCAGGGTGGCACTTGAGACCCAGCATGACAGCAGATTCAGTGGGCCTACAGAGGACAAGACCAGCTCCAAGAGAGTCTGTGAGGGGGCAAAGGTGGCCTGAGGAGAGGTGCACACACAGGGGCAGGGGCAGGTCCTGGAGGGCAGGTTCCCATTTCCTCACCCACCACTTCCTCTCTCCTGAAAGAACTTAGACAGGAAGCAAGAAGCCCTCGGGGCTCTTAAAGTTGTCTGCAGGACTCTAGGGTCTGGGTGGGGAATGATATTCTGGAAAGGGGCTGGGGGGTCTGAGCAGGACGGGCCTGGCTGCGGGCTGAGGTAGGTCTCTGCCTGTCTCTCTGGCCCCATTTGGATTTCTCTTGCCTTTTCTGAGTGCCCTATCTCCTCTGTCTCTGCCTGGGCCTGTCTCTCAGGCTAGACACTGGCCCCTCTCCTTGTCTCTCACTTTCTTTGACACTCGCTGTTTCTTTCCCTCTATCAATTGTGTCAACTCTTCCTCACTTGCTTCCTCTCCTGACCCCTGTGTCTCTCAGATGCCTTCAACTCCAGAGCAGCCCTCTGGGCACATGGAGGAGACCTCTGCGTCAGAGTCGGCCTCATGGGCCCCACTCCCCTGCGGGCCCTGTGTTCCCATCATGCTGACCCTGGCCTCCCTAGCTGCCCTCTTCCTGCTGACCACAGCTGTGTTGGCCGAACGCCTGTTCCGCCGCTCTCTCCGCCAAGACCCCAGCAACCACACCCCTACACTGGTCTGGCGCCCTGGAGGAGAGCTGTGGATTGAGCCTACGGGCACCCCCCGAGAGCGCTCCGAGGACTGGTACGGCTCTGCAGTCCCCTTGCTGACGGACCCGGCCCCAGAAACCCCCAACCCTGGGGGCACCTTGGAGGCCCGAGCTACAGCCCCATCTGCCCCTTCAGCCCCTTACGCCCCTCCCAGCGCCTTGGTCTCCCAGGCAGCACCCCAGGCCCCAGTCCGCAGCACCTTCTGGGTGCCCCAGCCCTGGGAGGAAAGGCCCCACAACCCAGGCATGGTGAGCTGGGCTGAGCCTGAGCTGAGGCCAGGGGCCAGTGTATTTTTGGGGAACCCTCAGAGCCGGAGGCAGCGGCCGGGCAGCCCTGAGCCCGACTGGGGCCTTCAGCCTCGGGTCACCCTGGAGCAGATCTCAGCTTTCTGGAGGCGTGAAGGCCGGACCAGCGTTGGGTTCTGAATGCCCAGGGCCTGGAGGACTGGCTACTGCTTTCTAGAGACCCATGAGGAAGGCCCTACAGCAAGGCTGATGCCTGAGGCCACCCAGGGAAGACTGCTTCTCCCAGGTCTTTTACTTCTGGATCTCAATTCCCTTGGACCTGGAGGGTGGGCAGGTGGGGTGTGGACAGGGCCTGGGAGGCAGGGGAAGCATCAAAGTGCCTCTGCTTAGCTGCTCGGGGCTGTGGCTCAGGGAATTGGGTGTGGGGGTGTACGATTCTGGGCCAGAGCCTGCAAGCCTACCTTCTAAATTAAGAACTCAAGATACCAGATAGGCAGGAAATTACATCAATCCCAGCCACTTTAGCCTTCCTGCAGTGTGCACCTCAGGTCTCGTCTGTCAGAGTAAAGGAGTCTCACAGATGCTAAAGAACAGACTACGTGTGATGATGACAAGTGTCAGCATGTTAGAGGGAGATGACAGGAGTCCAGCTCCCAAAATCCGTAAATCTTATCCCTCCTCAACGCTCATCCCCATGAAGTCCTCCAGAAAAATATATAAAGAGAGGACATGACCAGGCAAGGGAGCGTTTTATTACATATGAACTGTGGTTTTGACTCCTGAATTGCAATGAGGAACTTGGTGAGCCAAGCTGGAGGGGCTCCTCTTACCTGGAGTTGGAACCTAGAGTCAAAGAAGACCAACAGGCCGCCTCCGCCCAGCCTCATAAGGCCCCTGCACACATCTCGGCCTTCATGGTGAGGAAAGCCGAGCCAAGGAGAACTGAGTTTGAGTCAATGCAGAGACGTGAACTGTCCCAGGACAGGACAGTTCCCCAGATGTGGTCTTCAGGCCATCCTCCTACCAAGCCTGCTGGAGTGGGCCAGAGAAACAGCTTTGCCCAAGGACGGACCTACTTACAATGTTCCACTGCATAGAAACAGAGCCCCAAAATGCCGTTGGCCCTACTAGCCATCAGTATCAGCTGATCTCCCCTTTGGGGGAGGAGCCAGAGGATGGGGAGAGTGGAGAAAGTTTCCATTCCCCGGGGTCTGATTTTCCAAACTTCAGTCATGAACGTCAGGTGCTTTGCAATATCAGTTTGCCACCCGTACTATTATTTACCATGTTTTTCGTTAAATTGGCTTGCTGTTTGCTTAATAAATTTATTTTAAAAGGAATCTTTATTGTATCACTTCTGTAAATGGAAAACCAGTATCACTTGCCATAAACAGAAGGTAAAACATGAAAAAAAAATACAATGTACACAAAGTTCTTAAATTCTAGGTAGACAATGTTCCCTGCTGGAGACACTGAACTAGATACCTGTTCTTTCTTTGTTTAAAAAAACAGAGTGGGGTGGTGGAGATTAGCAAGTGTTAGATATTCTAGCACCAAACCAAAACCGTTCCCTGAAACTACTGAGAAGACTGAAAGCTCCTGTAAAAGGAACAGTGATTCTATGTTATTTAACGTTGGCTGGGAACACCCAACTTCACCAACACCTGGGGAAACACTCTCCTAGGCTGTGGCCAACACTCAGCTCTCTCTGCTCAGGAGGGCTGGGGAGCACTTGGAGCCTCAGGCTCCTCTCTAATTTCTTGGATACTGGAAGTTGAAGAAGCAGCCGAGGGAATGAGCAGCCTCCAGGCTGAGGGACGCCAGTGTCTGCAGACCAAGAGCCCTGTCCAACCCCTTCCGCCAGGTGCACTCATCCAGCATGGTTCTCAGAACCTGCTCAGGGCTAGGCCCTGGGAGAGGGAGGAGTCAGACCTGACCCCTGCCCTCAAGGAGCTCACAGACTCTCTAGAGTTTGGGAGATGGAGGTAGGTGGTAGGGGTGAGATAAGACACGGACACAGAACTGATACAAGACAGAGATCAGGGCTCCTGTCACTCATGAACTTGGTAACTATTTCATTTTTCATTATCATCATCAGCTGACAGGACTTGGTTGTGGGACTCCTTCCACCGGGAGTTAACAGTCTACCAGGTGTTCAGAACTTAGATGCCTATATGCTAAGTGTTCAGGAGAGGCAGTACATGGTGAAAGGGATTCCAGGGTACAAGGTCTCAGGCTCTTAGTCTGTCTTTATCATCCATTCACTTGGAAACTTCAGAAAAATAATTTTAAATTTGTTGGGCCTCATGTTCTTTATCTGAAAAACAAACAAGAAAATTGAAATTTGAACAAGATTCTCCACTAAGACTCTCCCAGCTGTGACATTTGAGGATGCTATAAAATAAAAGGTGAATGGATGGGTAGATAGATGGATGGATGAATCGGTGGATGATGAATGGGAGAATGGATGGGAGGATAGATAGATATTTGGATGGGAGAATGGATTGGTGGATGAATGAATGCATGGATGAGTGGATGGATAGATAGATAAAAGAATGGATGAATGAATGGATGCATGGATGGATATAATCTTCTTGAGACGGAGTCCGATTTGCTATTCCTAGTATCATCTTTATATTCCCAAACACAGAATGGTCTAAAACATCATAGGAGCCTGATGAAAGGGAATGATGAGTAAGTGGATGGATAAACAGATGTACAGTATTCATTTTACACCTTCTCCTTTATTTTCAGTCTCTCCCTCTAATTTTTAACACCATCTTATTACTTTCTCATGTGGATTCCTTCGTTTATGTTTTTAGGTATTTAAAACATATTTACTATATTATTTACTGAATTATTATCCAATAATTCTATTATCTGGAGTTCTAGGGTGGGAGCTAATGCTGCTGTTTGTTGTGTCTGTTTACTTTCATTGATGAAAGATTGTCTCCCCTTATGTTTTGGAATTTGGGGTTATGAACTTGACTTTAGCAGGACCTTATCAGTGGGAATCCATTTGGCCAGGTTTGAGGGTATGTCTCTCCAGAGAGGTTTTGTGTTTGCTTCTGCCAAGGGTGCTTTAGGGATATTACCAACCCTGGACAACTTTATTTGTTAATTTTATTTGGGCTTTCCAGGCCATGTAGGTAGTGTAAACTTGAACCCCAAGCCCAAGTGAGGGCAAGCCCTTGGTTATGAATTATCACGGCAGAACTTTTATTGCCACCAGTTCTCAGGGTGAGACAGATAAGGTTCTTTTGTGCTCCCCAGGCTGTTGAGTAGATTTTTCTAGTCCATTCTTTCACCAAGGGTGTTGCCTTTTAAGGGTCCCTGTAGTTTTCAAATCTCCAGGCAAGGCCTCATCTCCAATCCCTAAACCGCAAACCAAACCCATTGCCATTGAGTTGATTCCAACTCATAGCAACACTGTAAGGCAGAGTAGAACTGCCCCATAGGTTTTCCAAGGCTGTAAATCTTTATGGGAGAAGACTGCCACCTCTTTCTCCCACAGAGGGCTGGTGGGCTCAAACTACCAACCTTTCGGTTAGCAGCCAAGCACTTAACCACTGCGTCCTCAGGGCCTCCAAACCCTAGGTGTGTGTAAAATACGAGCCCCTTCATTACCAGGATCTGCAACCACCTAGGCAGCAGTCACAGCTCTGGCTTTCAATTTCCTCTTCAGTATGGCTCCCAGGGATTACTCTTACTTTCTTACAAACTCAGCTGTGCATTTCAAGGATGTCGGCTCAATTTTATGTAGCATTTTTAGGTGTTTCATGTTGTGGGTGTGCTTGTCAGGTTATCCCATTCATAATATTACAAAACACAGACTGGCTATTTCCTCATATAAACAAGTTCAAATCTCTCTCACCTTAAAACAACCAGCCAACCAACCACTAATTCTCCATCCCTCACCACATCTCTCTCTCACCTCCTTCACAGCCAAACTTCTGGGTCTGTCCTAGCAGTCTACATTTCCTTGTCTCTCACCACTTTGCAACCTGCTACAGGCTTGCGTCCCTCTCCAGCATCTACAGAAACTACTTTCACCAAATCCTAACCTGCTTGTTTTCATAGAGGGACACTCTGAGCAGCATTTGCTGATTCCCTTCTTGAAATTTTCTCTTCCTTTGGCTTCTGTGACTCCATATCCTCCTGATTTCCCTTCCCCCTCTCTGGCCATCCTGTCTGTCTCTCCTTTGCTGGCTGATTTCTTCAGAGTTCAGTCATGGATCACGTTTACTCTTCCTCTAACCACTGTTCCTGAGCATTCTTATTCAAACACATGGCTTCAATTGCAATCTCATACCCTGATGACCCTGAAGGCTCTAACTCCAGCTGTTGCAAATATGGTCTTCCCATCTCTATTCTGCCATTATTCTAAAGTAACAGTACCACTATTTTTAGCTGGGCTTGTAGCCACCCAGAATAAAGGCTACATTTCCCAGACTCCCTTGTAGCTAAAGGCATCCATAAGACTGGTGCTAAACTTGCCCTTTCTCCTCTACCTCCCAACCTGGCCTCTCCCTCCTGCTGGCTGGAATCCAGACATTACGGCAAAATATCTCGGACCACATGGATGAGGGCAACATCCTAGGGATAGAGTAACAACTAAATAAAAGGAACCTGAGTTCCTGATACTGTGGAGCCACCATACCATGCCTGGACTACCTATCTCTCCATTAGAGAACTAACATTCTATCCTGTATAAATCACTATTACTTTGTATCTCTATAACATGGAACCAAACCTACATCTTAACTAAAACCATCCAAAGTCTCTCTCCTGAGGTCAAAACCTGTCTAACATCTTCCTAGAGATACCCTGTGAATGCCTAAAAATGATCTCACAACACATGACCACTCCCCACCGAGCCTGATCCTCTCTGAACTCCATCCTTGGCTTTTTCCTGTCCCTCCCTCAGAACTCCCATGTGTCCCTGTGTTCTGCCCACTTCTCTTCATGACTACTTCCGTGATCCTGTTTCTGATCCACTCACTGCTCCTGAATTACTGATGGTCTCGTAAGTGGTCTCCTGCCTCCATTTTCCATTTCACACTTAGAGTGAGCCTCCTAAATATGCTTAAATGGTTTTCCAACTCCCATAATTCCAACAAATACTTCCTTTCCATTTAGCAAAAAATTAGCCAAATACCAAAGGACTATCAACTGCTCAGATACAAAGTATCTAAATCCTTCCAGCTACAATGTCCCAGAGCTCCAAGGGCTTTCATTAGGGTTCCCAGCATGTCAGGGAAGTATAATATGATCTTATTGTACTTATCCTGGTGTCCTTAACTCTATTACAAGGATCTTGGAAATAAAGAAAGCCTGAATTAAGCACTTTTCTGTTTAAAACTCATCAGCGACATCCCATCCACCTAAGGCTAAAGCCCAAACCCCTAACAGAGCTTCAAGACCACTTGCTATCTGGCTGCAGTCAACCTCTGTAAGAAGCATAATTTTAAAAATGTCTCCCCACGATTCCCATCCTCTGGTTATTCAATCAAAAACTAGTCTAAGTACTGTTGTGAAGGGAGTTTGCCGATGTAATTAAGGTTATAGACCTTAGGATAAGGATATTATCATGAATCATCTGAGTGGGTCTTATATGATCACATGAATCCTTAAGCCAAGAATTTTATCCAGCTAGAGTCAGAGATTATGTAGTGGAAAGGAAAAGCAGAGAAGAGATGAGGGAGAAGGGAAGGTCAAAGAGATTCAAAGTGTGAGAAGGATTCTATGCACCATTGCTAGCTTTGAAGATGGAGGAAGGGGGCCATGAGTCAAAGAATGCAAGCAGCCTTTAGAAGCTGAGAGTGGCCCCTGGCTACAGCCAGTAGGAAACAGAAACTTCAGTCTTACAGCCAAATGGAACTGAATTCTGACAGCAACCTAAATGAGCTTGGAAGTGGATTCATTCCCAGAGGCTCCGGGAAGGAATATAGCCCTGCTGGCACCTTGATTTTGGCTTGGTCAAACCCAGAGCAGAAAGCCAGTTTGTGTACTAAAGAGTTAATCTTAATCAAAGAGAGGTCTAGCCTTTGACCTCACCTCCTGGGAAGTCACCTCTAAGCCTTGGAATGTCCTGCCTGATAAGTGTTTTTGTTCACCTGGGGGACGTGGGCCATGCTAACAATGTAATTTAAGATGGGGCTTTGGGCATGCAATATCAGCTCGGCCTCTAGAGGGGCTGGGGACTAATTTCAGCCATGCAGTTAGTCAACCATGTCTATGTAAACAAGCCCCAATAAAAGCTCTGGAACCAAGGCTCAAGTGAGCTTCACTGGTTGGCAATACTCCATGAGTACAGTCATACACTTTTATTGGGAGAAGTTAGCCCAGGGAGAGGAGAACTGGAAGCTTTATGCTTAGAATTCTCCTGCTCCATGCTCCTCTTCCCTTGGCTGATTTTAATCTGTATCCTTTTGCTGTAATAAACCATAACCATGAGTATAACAGCTTTGAGTGATTCTGTGAGGTCTTCTAGTGAACTATCAAACCTGAGAGTTGTCTTGGGATCCTCCAAACTTCCAGCTGGTGTCAGAAATGAGGGTGATCTTAGGGACTCCTGAACTTTGCACAGCTGAACTATGCTGTGCCCAGACTGCTCAGTTGAAGAACTGTGAAATAACAAATGAGTGTTGTTATAAGCTGCTAAGTTTGTGGTAATTTGTCACCTCAGGAATAGAAAACTAATACAACTTCTCTACCTCCTCTACTTATCATTCCTTACCTCACTCAGCCTTGGCCTTCTCTATGCTCCAGCCACACTGAACATTTTTCTTCCACTCTAGGCACCTTTACACATACTGCTCCATCCCTAGAACATTCATCTACCTTCCTTTCCCCTCACTTTGTCCTAGATAATTCTTACTCTTCAGGTCTCAATCTAGCTGTCACTTTCTAAGGAGGCCTTCCCCAAAGGTAAAGCTAGTAGAAAATCATGCTATATTAAGTCTAATGTGGACGCTGTATCAGTTAAGGATGTTCTAGGCTTCAAGTAACAGAATAACAATGGCTAAAGTTATCTAGTTATCAAATGCTTCCACAACAAGTCTGAGGAAAGTGTGGAAAGTCAATACACTGAGTATGCTGGTATGGAGGGTTGAAATGAGTTTGGGGTCTCCATAACCTTGTTGAGTCACAGCACCATCCCCAAACCACCTTCTAGAAACAACCTATCAGGCCTTCTTTTATTGGTCAAAACCATGTCACATGTTATCCATGTTATAAAAGAGTCTGACAAATCAAATAGCTGGCAATGACAAATGGGATAGCCGTGAGTAACTTAGACCGATTGTGATTCATCCCTGGTGCTGAGCTTATCCCAAACAAAATCAGGGCTGTGTTAGCAAGAAAGAAGAGTAGGGGATGGGGTAATGATGATTGGATAGGTAATGAAGATTGTCTGCCACAGCACTTTATATATATACATATAGCCATATATTTTATTTTTTGCCATATATTATGGCTCATTTTGCCATATATTATAGCCAAATTACTCTATTAATAACAAATAGTATTTCTTTCAATAAAGCCAATCATCTGCTATATAAACCAACCTTGAAACTGAAAAGTCTAAAACAAAACTTTATAATATAATAAACAATGAAAATGTTTTATCAGTAAAAACAAACGTACATTACTGAAATAATTAAAGAAGAACTAAATAAATGCAAGAACGTTTTGTGTTCACGGATTGGAAGACTTAATATTGTTAAGATGTCAATACTACTGAATGCAATCTATAGATTCAATGCAATCCTCCATTAAAATTCCAACTGCCTTCTTAGCAGAAATGGAGCCAAACTTCAAATTTATATGGAATGACAAACCAAACTCATTGCCATCAGGTTGATTCCAACTCACAGTGACCTATATAACAGAGTAGAACTGCCCTATAGGGCTTCCAAGGAGCAGCTGGTGGATTTGAACTGCCGATCCTTTGGTTAGCAGCTTAGCTCTTAACCACTGCACTAGCAGGGCTCCATATGGAATGACAAAGGGCCCCAAATAGCCAGTGCAATCTTGAAAAAGAAGAACAAAGTAATAGGACTTACACTTCTGATTTCAAAACATACTATAAAGCTATAGTAATCAAAACTGCCTAGTACTAGTATAATGAGAGAGATATAAACCAAAGGAATAGAATTTACAGTCCAGAAGTAAACCCACATATGAAGGGTCAGTTGATTTCTGACAAGGGTGATAAGTCCATTCAATGAGAAAAGAAGGGTCTCTTTAATAAACGGTGCTGGGACAACTGGATTTCTACATGCAAAAAAATAAAGCTCAATCCGTACCTTACACTACATATGAAAATTAATTCAAAATGGAACAACAACCCAAATGTGATATATAAAACTATAAAACCCTTAGAAGAAAACATGGGGTAATGTCTTGGAAAGCTTTTAATAATGGTTT